ATATATACGCCTACATCTCTTGAGGCAATTATAACAGATGCCAAAATTGTACACATATATATGTAATATTCTTTCTTGCACTTGTAAATTACAAGTAATATTATGCATTTATAAATATAGTGAGCAAGGGTGAACTTATCTCTGACAGAGATCTCTTCCAGTCAACCCGATACAGTTGGAGAGCACGTCGTTTACGGCATTATGTAATGTAATGTAAATTGGACTCTCTTTTCCGCACTTAGCCTCTCATTTGGGCCGTCGTGCGTATGAGTCGTGGTTAGTACAGCCAACCCAGCTCCGTCCAGAAGCACTGAAGCTTCCTGAGATCTTCACAGTCCTCACGGAGCGACCTCATCGTTTCGAGAATTTGTAAACGTTGATAGGCCACAGCTTCACATTCCAGGATTACGTGAGCAGCCGTTTCTTCGGCGTCGAAACAGCCTCGACATAGAGGGCTGTCTGTGGCTCCTATTGTGTATAAATGTTTGTTTAATGGACAATGGCCCGTTATTGTCTCTATCATTGTTTTAAGGTTTTTCCTATCTAGATGTAATTAACGTTTCGATAGTCGTTGATTCACCATTGGCACGATTAATTTTGATTGTTTGCAATCAGTAGCCGTATCCATCTTTGGTTTTGTATGTCAGCGGATCTTTGACGAATCCATATTCGAAATTACGAGAACAGAAGAGGGAAAAGTGGATACGGGCCTATCACCTTCGTTCCTGAGCCTCTTCTAGCTAGTTCGTCTGCGGCATCGCTACCATAAGATCCGCTGTGCCCTCTTATCCACTAGAGGATAACTCGGTTATTGGAAGATATCTTATCCAAAGGCATTATGTTTAAAGCATGTTTTAAACTGTTTAATGCAAATAAACTAATTTCATTTCATTTCAGTTCATTTTGTTTCATTTCATTACAAAACTATCGATATTGCTAATTGCAGCTTATGCCCAGCACTGCCCTACACGTGGATTTAATTTGTTAAGGGCCAGACCCTTTGTTTGTCCGAACAAATTGCTGCCTGATAATTGGCTTAGCGCTCCCTACAAGCATCGGGTGTGGTACCATCATAAGCGGGGACATTTGTCGTGTTATATTTTTTGTTTTATTACTAATTGTTGCTAGGGTGGGAGGGATTGCTAGTAATGAGGACTAGCGGCCCCATTTTTTTATTGACCTCATTTGGTTGACCTCCATGCAGTCTCTCTTTGAAACCATCGTGGCCAGCATCCTAACCTATCCTCCTTCACTGATGCCTCTACAGCATATACCGATAGCGCAGGTGGGGTTAAAAGCCTATGATTATTCATTAAAAGACTAGTAGTTGCCCGTGACTTCGTTCGCGTGGGGCCATTTGATATCATTACTTGATATACCTGTTTCCCAGATGTTATTATATTGAATACCGAGATGAATTCAAATATGTAATACACTAGTGATCTGACCCGGTTTCGCATGGGTAGATGGAATTTGATAATTTGATGGTATTATAGCCTATGTTACTCGCTGATAATATAGCTTTCTATAGGTGAAAGAATTTTTAAAATCGGTCGAGTAATTTTTGAGTATATCCATTATAAACTTTATAAAGAAACAAGCAAATCTTTACTCTCTATAATATTTCTATAGACAAAAACTAATTTATGATTATACTTATGTTTATGCAAATAAACATCATCGCCGTGCGGTCCCGGCATAGAATAAACCACCATTTCCTTTCCCGTGGGTGTCTTAAGAGGCGACTAAGGAAACTTAATGGTCGAGGTATAAGCAGCAGCATCCCTCTTAACAACAAAGTCTGAATACGGTTGCCAATCCAACTGCCAAGTGTGGCAACTACTGGCAAAATCTCTCAAGGGTGAGGCCTATGATAAGCAGTGGAAAGTTAACAGCTAATATGATGCAGTAAGTTATGGATGGACAGCAACGTCCCTCTTAAAACATCACAATGCCTAACTGCGGTTACCAATCCGTCTGCCAGGCGTGGCAACTATTGGCAAAACTCCCTTAATGTGGGACATCTACCATATATCCAACATTGGACAGTTAACGGCTGAAATAATAATAATACTGAAGTTAAGCAGTGCACCGCCGCTACTGAGGCCACAACCTTATCGCCGGTTAACGCTGTCACCGTAAGCAGTTGCTTTTTAAAATTAAATTGCACCCGTTCCCTTGGATTTGAACTAATAATTAGCGTATTTCAAGTTAATTAGTCGTATTTGTTTCTATTTAATACACTTTATTATGTTTTTGAGTTGATTTTTATTTTATTTTTTTTATATAATGACAATGGAATGGTTCTCGTATATTAACTTATGGTGGAGAGATGGGCAACAGCGTCCCTTTTAAAACATCTGTAAAAGCCTAATTGCGGTTGCCAGCCCGCATGTCAAGCGTGGCAACTACTGGCAAAACTTTTTTTTTTATACAACTTAGAATGGCAAACAAGCTCCCGGCCCACCTGATGGAAAGTGGTAACATGAGCAGTACCATGGACATAACAGAGTATACTGTTTCGCCCATGATACCCCCCTTGCGTTGCCATTCCTGAGGACTCAGGTGTTATTCCTCTGTACCCAGTAAATTCACGCCATATCCCACCCTTCAAACCGAAACACAGCCATGCAAACACAACTGCTTCACGGTTGAAACACGAATGGAGAACTTCTCTTATGGAGAAGGCTTATTGAATTCATCACGATGGGCTAACTGACCTGTTTTCATCCTCACCTATAATCTTTCACTGGTGTCCTGTCAGTGTATACCGATAGTGCATGCGGGGCTACCATTCCATTTTCACCCATTAAAAAAAAAGCTTAACTGTAGTTGCCAATCCGCCTGCCTAGCGTGGTAATTATTGGCAAAAACCCCCAAGAGGGAGGCTCATGTTCAGCAGTGGACAGTTAAACGCTGATATTATGACGATATTAAAAAAAAAAAAAGATTAAATGACATGCAAACCATGTAGTGTTCACTAGTCATAAATGTCATTGGGACATGACATAATCGTTCGCACATATGGCGCGATGTACCTGTTATGACCCATTTCAATTTTATGGGGCAGGGGTTCGGTCCCGTGCGCGGTACATCAATAGGGTATGGGCGCAGATAATACCATGCCATGCGAATGGGTGTTAAATTGATTGAGATTAATTTTATGGCTCTCTCGTTTTATGGATGGATAATTTTCATTTACATTTAAATAGTTTAATATTATTGAGTGGTATCGATTGATGTTATTTCATATTAATTAATTTATTTTGTACTTATTATAAATAATATTACAGACGGGAAAGATTTGATTTTTGACTGTTTGTTTGTAGTGGATAAACACAAAAAATACTTATCTTTAATATATATATATATATATATATATATATATATATATATATATATATATATATATTATTTACATATTTAATATATAAATATAATATATAATAATAATAAAATATTAATTTATTTATTTTCTGTACTAATAATATACAGTAAAAGCTCTTTATTCACGTTTCCTTTATTCGCGGTTTCACTATTCGCGGATTAATTGCGACCAAATTCCTATATTCGCGGTTAAAGTTCTTTATTCACGGATCTAATCGGTGCATATGAATAAAAACGATACGGTGTCCTTTGTAAACGAGTTGGCAATAAAAAAAGTAAAACAGACCTTATTACAATTATGCCTAAAGTATGTTGTCAAATGCCAATCGCCGCTTTATAAGTGATTCAGCTTTCTATATTCACGGTTTCTGTATTCGCGGCATATTTACGGAACGTATACACCGTGAATAAAGAATTTTTACTAAATATTGTACATTGTTTCACTGTGTATTAAAGTTTAAATAAATAAATATAAATAAATAATATTACAGAGGGGAAAGATTAGATTTTTGACTGTTTGTTTGTAGTGGATTAACTCAAAAAATACTTAACTTTTTTTTATACAACGAAGGTGGCAAACAAGCACACAGCCCGTCTGATGGTAAATGGTCACTGTAGCCTATAGACGCCTGCAACACTAGGGGTATCACGTGCACGTTTCCGACCCTGAAGAAACCTGAAGACGCTTCATTTGTATATGACCTTGACAGTATCGGTGTGGTCTTCCACGTTTGCATGGCTATGTTTCGGTTTGAAGGGTGGGATATGGCAGTGAATTTACAGGGTATAGAGGAATAACGACTGAGTCCTCAGGAATGGCAACGCATGAGGGGTATCATGGGCGAAACAGTATACTCTGTTATGTCCATGGTACTGCTCATGTCTATAGACAACGGTTACCACTTTCCATCAGGTGGGCCGTCAGCTTGATTGCCATTGTAAGTTGCATAAAAAAACACTTTTACACAGCAACATTTGGCTTATTTATTTTTTTACTTAAACATTTTATCGGTGACAAGTGCGAGGTGGCAGCTTAACGTCACCGCTGCCGACTCACCCCTGTTTGCAGTGAACACATGTCGATTTATCCCGCACCTACCCCTATAACTGTCCGGGGTACAGTTTTAACACTATATTGGCTGTGAATGAGTAACGACAGGTGAAAGCGATAGTGTGATTTGAATGTGAACTAATATTATAAGAGAGAAAGGATTTGATTGATTTATTTATTTATCTATTTATTTATTTATCTATTTATTTATTTATTTATTCTTTATTTATTTAATTACTCTTTATTGAACCATTTAATGAACTAGAATGGTTATGCACAGTGCAATTTCAAAGAAGCTTCCTCTTCGAACACTTAGGTTGTAGAATGATCTTCCTGCCGAGGCTTTGACTAGAGACTACAGCATGGAGTTCTTCAAAAGGGGCGTATTAAGGTTTCTTAAGAGTCGACAATGCACGCGTGACATCCCTGGTGTTGCAGGCGTCCATAGGTTACAGTGACCGTCTACCATCAGACGGGCTGTATGCATGGTTGCTACTTTTGTGGTATAAAAAATATATACACGTTCACGTGAATAAAATCATGTACTCAACAAAGTACTTACCCCCCAATTCTGGTATCCTATGATAAAACATGCCGGTCCTGGCCAGCCACTCCAGCTGCATGTGATGCAGGACTCTGTCGCCGGGGTGGTGGAACGCTGACGGCATCGGTGCTCCGGGGGGCGGCTGCAGCTGCGGGTAGTTGAACAGGGCTGCCGACTGCGCAGCGACCAGCGCCGGGGTTTGGGGGAGGAGGCCAGGCTTTGGTATTATACCTGGGAATAAAAATATTTATTTATTTATTTAACTACTAGCCGTTTCCCGCGGCGTTGCCCGCTTCTAACTATGTAGTCCCGTATATAATTCCCATTGGAACTCCTTCTTAATCCGGTCTTATATTGTATACATAAACGATAGTTACGTACCTAATACCTTCATAAAGTTTCAGCCAATACAAATGATCGGTTATTTTATAGCATTTTATATGTGACTCTTTAGATTGATATAACTTTTTTATTTATGCACCGATTGAAATAAAACAAACACTAAATGTTAAGTGGAACAAACCGCAACGCATTAGTGAAAACCGTGTTTAAATCGATTAAGCCGTTTCTGAGATTTGCATTTGTGCACAAACGTCCAGACAAATAGACAAAAATTTTAAAAATCATTATAATCACATAAAAATCATCACAGACCATTTTGGATTTTTTTTTATCTGGAAAAATATACCCACAGATTGATCCCATAGAAATTTTATAAAGCTCCATTTAAGAATTTGGTTTTTAAATTAAAATAACTGATTTTGCTACAACTGAAGTTGGTTTTTTTTATACAACTTAGAATAGCAAACAATCTGACGGCCCACCTGATGAAAAGTGTTAACCGTCGTCTATAGACATGTACCATGGACATAACAGTATATTCCTGTACTGAGGACTCAGATGTTAGTCCTCTGTACCCGGTAAATTCACGCCACATCCCTCCCTTCAAACCGAAGCATAGACATGCAAACACAACTGCTTCACGGTTGACACACGAATGGAACAGAGGTACCTAAGCAATCGACTTTTATACAAAGTCTCCCTCTGGTAAAATAATGGAATACAGTCATAAATTACATGATATTTATAATGACAATCAAGCTGACGGTCCGCCTGATGGTAAAGAGCAACCGTCCCCTATAGACATGAACGGCACCATGGACAGCACAAAATTTGTAAGTAAAACTGTACTTACCAGGCCTATAGCTTTCGAACTCCTCATTCCCGCCTTCGACTCCTGGCGAAATGGGTGGGCTATAGCTGCCCGATCTGTTCCCATCGTCAGACCCCGGGGACACGCTCCTGGGTGTGCTTTGCCCAGATCTGGGACTGTCCGTTTCTGCTCTATGATCAAAACCCGCATCTTCCGTTCGACTCTGGTATTTCTCTATGGTATTTTGCTCTATTTGTGTATCGTAGTTGTCGTTCTGGTATCTGGCTATATAGTTTTTATTCTGTATCAACGACATGTACTTGTGTTGGGACATTCTTTGTTGTATAGTTGTCTCTGGTTCAATATGGCGGGAAAGTAATGCGTCGATGCAAAACGACTTCTTTCCCTGGTTCAAAATAGTTTTCTCGTCATCTAGCTGTTTGTAGTACTTCATGTTTTTGGGGCTGTTCGATCTGCTGCGGTCTGGATTCGAATCCTGGTCGATCTCTAAGGGTTTCTCCTCGTTCGAACTTCGCCGGTACATTGTATGCGAGAGAATTTGTGAGGACATTTTTTACATGATGTGGTATCTGTAAAGGGAATATGTATATAATTATTTCACTCTTACTTTCCTCTCCTTCAGAACACTGTTAGGGCTACCCTATCGCTGTAGTGCTTCACACATGTTTGCACGAGAACGTATAGATGATTTTTACGCAATAAGGCGCAAACGAATTGTTTCGCTATTGGCCAGGGTTCGTGTTAGCTCAAACAGTGTCCTGATGACAATTGCCGGTAAAAGACACATTTTTTAATATTATGGAATACAATTTTGTGTTTTAATTTTTAGGGATTTTCCCTTATTCAGGTATATCAGCCTTATCGTACCCTGAATTGATTTCTAAAATAAAGTTTTATCTATATTCCCTAGTCATGAAAAGAGAGGAATAAATGGGCATCAATGACTTGCAGAAATGCTCCAAAATTTCTGATTTGGTTTCAGCTAATATAGATTGAATAAAACCAATATTGATTCGTGATTTATTTAAAATGGCGCATGAATTCTTCTCTATCCTTTGAGTTTATAGTCTCTAACACTATATGTTGGGGGGAAAGGGATTGTTAGTAATGGAGACTAAGAATCCCATTGCTAGCAGCCATACCCAGCCAGCTCGACTTCCTCGCGGTTCCCCCTGGAAACTATCTTGGTTAATTCCTGATGAATTCATCATGATGGGCTAACTGGCCTGTTTTCATTCTCATCTATCACCCTTCACTGGTGCTCCGTCAGCGTATCCCGTTAGCGCAGGTGGGGTTACCATACCATTTTCACCCATCAAAAAAAACACTATATGTTATACTCCATTGATGGTATCACAAACTGGACAGCAACGGGGTGAATAGGACTTCCCCAGTATTTGTACGAATTTTTTGATTAAATGTAATATACGTAAGCACTTTATATTATTCTCAATTTCGTGTATAATATAGTATATTTTATATATGTTTATTTGTTGTTTATATATATTTGTTCATATATGTAATTTTAGTATGTATATATATTAATAATTACTAGTAGCGCATTCGAGTATTCTGACACTTCCCTATGGTTGACTGGGAGAGAATGCTTTTAGCATTAAGTCCGCCATGTACACATATATAATGAATAAATAAATAAATAAAAAATATATTAAAATTGGACAGATTAATTTCGTTTGCATTACTCTGTGGATGTGATCTAAATAAGTTCAGTGAATTAATTAATACAATTTTATCCACTCAGCGACTTATCGGAGTTAATTTTACCCATAAGATAACGTAAAACAGTTAATAATAACGGGTTATCGTTATTTAATAAACTATTTATCGGTAGCTGGCGCGTGCGTTCACTATCTTTTTTATTTTTAATCGATTTTCGTGTAGCCAAATATACCTATTAATATTAACTTCATACAAGTAGTCGTCCCGTGGTGGAAATTCGACCATAACATATATTGTAATAAATAAATTTATTATGGTTACGTTTGACGTTCAGTAAGACTATAGACAAATAATGTTAAAGACAATAGTACATTACTGCAGCGGCCAGCTACTGAGGCATTGATGGACGAACGTGCAAATGTGGGCCGAGGCCTAGCCGAGGCACACATACATGAGTCCATCAATGCCTAGTTGTGGCCAAGGCTTGTATAGTACTTTTCTCAAACAATGCGCGGAAATCAAAAACAGAATTTTACTTTTTAAGTTCAATGACGAATGGCGAACAATAATAATTTTTCATGCGCCATAATGTTCCTTTGGCGTCATGTCGTATAGGGAGATAAAGGATATGGCCTGGGATAGAGCTACCTGGAGGAAGATGCATGAATTAGTTGCACCGACAAGAGGAAATTTTTAAATGAAAAGAAGAATGTTCCTTTGTTTTTTTTTTCAATAAACAGCTTTCTATTTGCAAGCCAGTCCGAAATTTAAATAAAACCTTTTATTAGTTACCTCCTTGGTAGCCATGTTTCGAAGTAAAAGGTCATTCCATTTTTAAATTACAGAACAGATATGAGTTTACATTAATAGTAATTTATCTGGCCGCAAAACACGACAGATATGGATTTTCATACAACTTTTGTCGGCCGCTGCCCGCATGTATCTGGCCAGTACGGCAATTTTGATTTATCTCGAAGAAGATTGTCAAAATAATGCTCACATTTCCAAGCATGTTTGAGAAAAGATTATTAATCTAATTCTCAATTTGACCACAGACTTTAACAATAAACAAAAAAGCTGGCAGCAAATCAGCAGTATTTAGTCAGCAGTATTTAGTAGATTCATTATTTCATTTGAAACTAGTCCATTATCGCCGAATCTTAAAATGTGAGTAAAGCCGAATAAATAATTAGTACTTTTACTTGTAAGTTTAAATTTTTAACGTTACATTTTCGTGTAGTTTTCTATCGTAATCTTTTGGAGGAAACAATAAAAGTATCTATCTATCTACAGTTTAAATTTTTTTTCACACAGTATTTTTTTTATACAACTTAGAATGGTAAACAAGCTGACGGCCCACCTGATGGAAAGTGGTAACCGTCGCCTATAGACATGAGCAGTACCATGGACATAACAGAGTATACTGTTTCGCCCATGACACCCCCCATGCGTTGCCATTCCTGAGGACTCAGGTGTTATTCCTCTGTACCCTATAAATTCACGCCATATCCCACCCTTCAAACCGAAACAGCCATGCAAACACAATTGCTTCACGGTAGAAATACGAATGGGACAGAGGTACCCAAGCAATCGACTTTTGTACAAAGTCTCCCTCTGGTTAATCAATCAATAAGTTATCAGGTAATCCAAGAATGTTATTTGCATAAAATACCCATCTATTCTTATCTCAAACGACAATCTAACAATTCGATTACATCAATTTTAACACAGTCAGTTCGGGTTTGAAATTGCTTGACGCGGAAAGATGTCACGGATTGTTTTTTATAGACAGTTTAGTATTAAAATGTATGTTTTTTTTTATTATTATTAGGTATTTCTTATGAGTAACATTCATAGTTTTGTCGTCATTTCACTACCTGAGTGTTCGTAGGAGGAAGCTCTTTTGAAACCGCACTGTGCGTTACCATTCTGGTTATAAGGTGTGAGGATGGACTCCCTGTCGATGGCGAAAGGCAGCTGAAGCCATCATATTAAGGAGTTCTTCGGAACACACAATTTATGATTTTGTTTCACAGTGGAATATGGCAGGGGATTTACAAGGTACAGAGAAATAACACCTGAGTCCTCAGGAATGGCAACGCGTGGGGAGTATCTCGGGCGAAACAGTATACTCTGTTATGTCCATGGTACTGCTCACGTCTATAGGCGACGGTTACCACTTTCCATCAGGTGGGCCGTCAGCTTGTTTGCCATTCTAAGTTGTATAAAAAAACTAAAACCAAAAAAAACTGACTTCAATCGTAACAAATCCGATTATTTTGGTTAAACTAAACTTTGATTTACAACATTTTGATCGGTTTACAACTGACGGAGTTATGAGGTACCAAATATTAATAGAAAAAAATACAACCCGAATTGAGAGGCTCCTTCTTTTTTGAAGTCGGCTAAAAACAGAGATCTATCGTCACAAAATTACGATACCAGTAATGCGGGAATGTTTCTACTTTAGCAATTGTAAAAAGACTGATCGACATATATAATTTAGGTTAGTGATTTAGGCTAAGGTATAATGAAATTGACGTGTGTGGCGCGGCATAGAACGGGCCATCCCTTCCTTTCCAAACTCCCTTCTTATAAGGGGGAAAGGAATAGTTAATAGTGGAGATTTAACAACTCCATTGCTAGCAATATACCCCACCAGGTCGACCTCCACGCGTTTCTCACTGGAATCCATCTTGCTTAATTCTATGCGAATTCGTCACGATGCGCCAACTGACCTGCTTTCATCGTCACCTATCATCCTTCACTGGTGCCCCACCGGTGTATACCGATAGCGCAGGCGGGGTTACCATTCCATTATCACCTATTAAAAAAAAACACCCTTTATATATGTCCAACAGTGGACAGTAAACGGCTGAAAGAGGCTATTTCTTTTAATTTATCTCTCAATCTAATATGTTAATTTGACAATTTAACGAAACTGATTTAATGTGGGGGGAAAGGGATTGTTAGTAATGGAGTTTGACAGCCCCATTGCTAGCAATATGCCCTATTAGGTCGACCTCCAAGTAGTTCCCTCTGAAAACCATCGTGAACAATTCTTGTTGAATCCGTCACGATGGGCTAACTGACCTGCTTCATCCTCACCTATCATCCTTCACTGGTGCCCCGCCGGTGTATACTGATAGCGCGGGTGGGGTTACCATTCCATTATCATCCATTAAAAAAAAAAACTGATTTAATGTATTTTTGATGCATATCTTTTTTTAAAAATATTATCATTCCGCACTCCTTCTCTATATAAACTATAAGTGTGCCAAATTCCATACTCCTCCGTCCGCGCGATTTTCGTAAAAAGGGCTACAAAGTTTTTGCTTCACATATAACGGTATAGTTTTGTCAGGAAACAACAGGGATTTGGAGTTTTTATATTTAAAAAAAAATCAGTCAAGTGCTAGTTAGACTCGTGTGGAAAGGGTTCTGTATGTTGATTATTATTATAAGATAGGTTTCAGGCTATAACTGTTCACTGCTAGTTCTGTCAGTAGTTGCCACGTTTAGCAGGCAGGTTGGCAACTGCAGTTTTTTTTTATAGGTGAGAATGGTATGGTAACCCCGCCTGCGCTAACGGGATACGCTGACGGAGCACCAGTGAAGGGAGATAGATGAGAATGAAAACAGGCCAGTTAGCCCATCATGATGAATTCATCAGGAATTAACCATGATGGTTTCCAGGGGGAACCGCGAGGAGGTCGACCTGGTTGGGTATATTGCTAGCAATGGGATTCTCAGTCTCCATTACTAACAATGCCTTTCCCCCTGGCAACCGCAGATAGGTTTTAGATATATTTTAAGAGAGACATTCCTCGATCATTAAGTTTCCTTGGTCGCATCTTACGACACCCACGGGAAAGGGCTAGCCCATTCTATGCCGAGACCACACAGCACGCAGACTTAAGTACAACGAATAATAGATACCAAAACATAATTTAAAAAAAAATCTGTCTGTCTGTTTGTTCCGGCATTACGTAAATCTAGTGGGAGAGCGTCGTACATTACGTATGCCTATTGCCTATGTTAGTGTCTAAAAGTCCCTATCATTTGCACTAACTTAAAAATACGATAGATTTTTCTAGCGATAGAAAAAAACATGTCGCAATATTTAGTCGTAAGTGGTACTTTAATAAATTATTAAATTACATAATCTAAGATTTTAAAATACATAACTACACGGTTTGCATTAAAAAAAAAAAAAACTCAAATATCTCTTTACCTCAGTTGAGGCTTGAAATTTGTACCATATTGTTTTTATTTATTATTATAAAGTAATTTTCCAAATTTTCCAATGAATTAAACTCACCTCTATAGCATTAGTGACAAACTATTAGTTAAATTAAAAAGAAAACACTGTACGCACTTCACAAAAAAAAGTTTTTTTTTTCTTTATTTATTTTTAAATCTATCAAAACCACAAACACCCGGATACGGCTTCAGTAAAAAAAAAAATTATCGAAAAAAATAAAACACGTCAAATTCAAATTTGGAACGTGGCGCGCGCGCGTCCGCCTGCCCACCCCAGCGTGGTAGTTACAAACAACTGAATTATTTTATTAACGGTTCGCTATCACAGATTATCGTCCCATATTGTAGAATGTGTGGGCGGTGCGAGGCGGCCAGTTTACACTGATCCCCCGTTCTCTGACTTCGACCGCGTTGTTATACTGTTTTATTGACAGAGAAAGAACTGCGAGGTGTCTTGTCGAGTTGGTATCATATTTACGCCCCACCCTATTGTGTTTTGTCTCGCTCCAAAAACAGCCGTCTCGCTCGATCCCAATGCAATTTACGCATGAGTTGATATATTCTCATCGTCAACTGCTAAACCACAATACTGGATTTCGTATAAAGAAGTAACTTGTTCATTGTTTTACGACTTATTTTGTTGACTAAAGATTTTTATACGCCATCAAGAGGGAGTCGTGCATTGGTTTGTTCCAATAGAACTTATTAAAAATGTAAACAAACGAATAACCGACCCGGCCATAGGACCGCTCAGGTCCAATTGTAGAACGAATCAAATGTCTTTCATTATACAGATAGAGCGTCGAGCCTCAAAAACGTGTCAACTTTTTGTCAGCTAACTGTCAAATTAGCTGACTCGTTGTTTTTATCAGTGCTCTATATACTTACGTACACAATGTATCTTGACGTATCTATATTTAATTATTTAATAAATAAAATGAGTGTTTACGCATTAAAAAGATGCAGAATTTATAAGACAAAATAAATATAGAAATTATAAAGGAATCACTCATAACTATTTATCACGCGAAATTGTATGAAAAAGTTGACCCGTTTTTCTCGAAGCATTTGTATGGAGACACTCTATCTATATAATCTAAGTTTGGCAAGTGACAACTACTGGTAAAGCGGGGGGAAAGGGATTGTTAGTAATGGAGACTAAAAATCCCATTGCTAGCAATATACCCTGTCAGGTCGACCTCCACGCGGTCCCCCTGGAAATCGTGCTGAATTCCAAGTGTATTCATCACGATGGGCTAACTGACCTGCCTTTTCATTCTCACCTATCATCCCTCACTGGTGCCCCGCCAGCGTATACCGATAGCGCAGGCGGGGTTACCATACCATTATCATCTATTTTCCATTATCATGTATTACAAAAGACCCTCCACTACTATGGAGTGTTGACCTCAAATGCATTGCAGGGAGTCAGTGGATGCAGGTGGCTTAGGACCGTTCCTTATGGCAGTCTATGGGGGAGGCTTATGCCCAGCAGTGGACGAATAATGGCTGAAATTACGACGATGGTGATTTATATGCATCTACATAGGCCTTTAATCATTATAACGGATTACTGTTGCCACTTTTGGAACGGCTCTGCCAAGTATCTGGCTTTTTTTATACCACTGAGGTGGTACGCATGCAGCCCACCTGATGGTAAGCGGTTACCGTAGCCCATGAACGCCTGCAATACCAGGGGTATTACGCGCGCGTTGCCGACCCTGAAGAAACCTCTTTACCACTTTTTTAAAGAATCCGCTCTGGAAGAGATCGCTCTTAGCGATAAGGTCGCCCATTTCTTTCTCAGTGTAATATTTTCTTGTAATTGTTTATATTTATAATAAGTTTACTATTGTAATCTTTTGGAGGAAACAATAAAGAGTATCTATCTATATTATGAGCGAAACAGTATACTCTGTTATGTCCACGGTACTGCTCATGTCTATAGGCGACGGTTACCACTTTCCATCAGGTGGGCCGTCAGCTTGTTTGCCATTCTAAGTTGTATAAAAAAATATTCCCATTGACGAGTACAAAAAATATTGTTTACCTACCAGCTAAACGAGATAAAGTAGTTTCATCATATTTAAGCGCTTATTTGTACTACAATTTACGTTATCAGAACAATTCTAAAGATATATTTTCGATATCTCGGTACAGTCAGCTTCGTAAGGAGAGAAAATGATATGAAATGAAAATGAAATTAAATGAAATTAAAATTAAAAGAAATGAAAGGAAATTAAAATTAAAAGAAAAGAAATTAAAAGAAATTAAAAGAAATGAAAATAAATTAAAAGAAATGAAAAGAAATGAAAAGAAATTAAAAGAAATGAAAAAAATTAAATGAAAAGAAATAAAAGGAAATGAAATGAAATAAATAAAATGAAATGTAAGGTGTGTATATAGTAGATAGATTATATTCTATTTTTATTTAATGGATTAATAACTAAAAGAAAAATAAATTAAATTAAATGATAAGAATTTAAATTAAATTAATTGAAATAAAATGAAATTATATTTATTTGCAGTGAATGTAGTAGTATATAATGGGATGGGATTAAAGAAAAAGACTAAGTTGCCAAACCGTCTGTCAAGCGTGGCAAGTACTAGCAAAAACCCCCCATATGGGAGAGTCCTATGTACAGCAGTGGACAGTAACCGCCAATATGAATGGATAAACACTACATTTCTATTCCAACCATCTGGACCTCCGTGCGTTTTTCAAGGCACTTTCTTCCACGCACAACCACTCTTTGAAATCAACTTCCAGCAGCAGTATTTCGGAATAGATACGATATTGTAAATAGACTTTTGTGATGTTTTAAGAGGGACGCTGCTGCCCATCCCTCGTCCTCCTTTAGGTGCCTGTTACGACACCTACGGGAAAGGAAGGGCTGGCCTATTCTATGCCGGGACCACAGCGCAATCATTTATAAGAATGTGATATATGATCACCAGATGGACACTTTGTACAAAAGTCGTTTGCTTGAGCACCTCTGTCCCATTCGTGTTTCAACCATGAAGCAGTTGTTGGCATGGCTGTGTTTCGGTTTGAAGGGTGGGATATGGCGTGAATTTACAGGGCACAGAGGAGTAACGACTGAGTCCTCAGGAATGGCAACGGAAGGGGGGGTATCATGGGCGAAACAGTATACTCTGTTATGTACACGGTACTGCTCAAGTCTATAGGCGACGGTTACCACCTTCCATCAGGTAGGCCGTCAGCTTGTTTGCCATTCTAAGTTGTATAAAAAAATATAATATCGACTGTATCAATATTATAGGGTAAAAACATGCTTATACGAGAAAAATGACAAATCTTAAGTGATCAATTTGAGTCATCGTCAGTCATCGTGTCTCGCAACTGATACCTTATCATTATCAATCTATACAAAAAAAAAAAAAATATGATTTCGGCATTATTTCGCTCTTTTGAGGGCGAATCAATAAACTGAGTTATGACAATTTTGTGTTAAAGGAAAAATTATGTTATATTTTTTTTTTATATATTTTCCTTTTTTTTTTTGTAGATATTTCCAATCTTTTATCTCTTTCTGTTTGTGTATGACTGTTGTATGTGTGCTGTAAGTAATGTAAATAAATTATATAATTATCTATCTATCCATTATATATAATGGATGAATAAAGATTTATACGATTTTTTTTATAGATATCACATTTATTTATTTATTTATTCATTAGTACATATATGTGTACATGGCGGACTTAATGCTGAAAGCATTCTCTCCCAGTCAACCGTAGGCAAGTGTCAGAATACTTGAACGCGGTACTAGTAATTATTGATATACATACATACTAAAATTACATATATAAACGTATAAATATATATGAATAACAAATATACCTACACATATATGACATATACTATATTATACACGACATTGAGAATAATATAAAGCACTTACTGCTCGGATAAAGTAAAAAAGTGAGCGTGAACGTTTTTTTTTTGAAAGACGGTTTAGTCGGTAGTCTCTTAATGGCATTATATAAATACGACAAAATAGCTGACTACTATTATTTTGGGGGGAGGGGGAGGGTTTACCCTGTCAGATTACTTTGTCACGCGGTTCCCCCTGGAAACCATCGTGATTAATACTTGTTGCATTCGTCACGACGGGCTAATTCACCTACTTTCATAGGAGGGAGGGAAAAGGATTGTTAATAATGGGAAGTTTTTTTTTTTTTTATGGCTGAAAATGGTATGGTAACCCCGCCTGCGCTAACGGGATACGCTGGCGGAGCACCAGTGAAGGGTGATCGATGGGAATGAAAACAGGCCAGTTAGCACATCATGATGAATTCAACAGGAATTAACCATGATAGTTTCCAGGGAGAACCGCGAGGAGGTCGACCTGGTTGGGTAAATTGCTAGCAATAGGATTCTCAGTCTCCATTACTAACAATCCCTTTCCCCCCATAATGGGGAGGTTAGTCTCCATTACTATCAATACACACTATCAGGTCGACCTCCACGCGGTGCCCTCCGGAAACTATCGTGATTAATTCTAGCGTAATTAGTCATGATGGGTTAACTGACCTGCGTTTTATCTTCACCTGTCATCCCTCACTGATGCCCCGGCAGCGTATACCGATAGCGTAGGTAATGTTACCATTTCATTATCTAGTTCATTATTTTTCTTTCCTATTTTGGTTATTTTGTATGCAGTGCCTTTTATCTGTAGGTATTGTTGCTACTTGTGAAAAACTTATTAGTGGCTTGCTTTGTGATTCTAAACTGTATCTATTTGCTCTGGTATACTCCTAGTTTTCCAGTAAATAAATAAATAAAAATAAATAAATTATTACCCATTAAAAAAAAAAAAAAACTTCATCCAGAAAACATTGCTTTAGTTTTTTTTGGTTTATTGGTCAACATTTTGAGACTTGATGCTCTATCTATATAATCTTTTTTTTTTTTTATCCAACTTAATCCAACTAATGGCAAACAAGCTGACGGCTCACCTGACGGAAAGTGGTAACCGTCGCCTATAGACATGAGCAGTACCATGGACATAACAGAGTATACTGTTTCGCCCATGATACTCCTTATACGTTGCCATTCCTGAGGACTCAGGTGTTATTCCTCTGTACCCAGTAAATTGACGCCATATCCCACCCTTCAAACCGAAACACAGCCATGCAAACAACTGCTTCACGGTTGAAACACGAATGGGACAGAGGTACCCAAGCAATTGACTTTTGTACAAAGTCTCCCTCTGGAGAGGGAGACTTCTATATAATCTATGTTACACGTTGATAATGTAGCTTTCTATAAGTGAAAGAATTTTGAAAATCATTCGACTAGTTTTTGAGTTTGTGCAATTAATAACAAACAAGCAAATCTTCCCACTTTATAATATTAGCTTGGACATTGTAACGAAATAAAATTCCCCCACAGTCCACGTGCCGCTCGCAAAATTAAATTTCACCAAGAAATTCCTACTTAAAACTACGTT